GTAACTCACTCAGTTATTAAGACCCTGATTCATTCCTGTGATAGTAACAATATTCTAGAATAATATCTTCATAGATGCTGATCTGTAGTTTCCTTTTCTAGCCTAACATTTCTGTACCTTTTGTGAAAACAATTAAGCTTTATTAGATGCTAAAGACTCAATTGCAACTTAAATCACTTTTACCCTGACCAGCAAGGTCATGGTGGAGAGGCAGATGTCACTGCATAAAGAACAAGGAAAATAAAAGGAAGACAGACTGCAAGCTCACGGGTTCATCAACTGTAAACAAGCACATAAACAGGCTATACAACAAGAGTGACATTTTAGGATTGAAGCTTGGAATCGTGACACAGTGTGGAGCCTTCTACAGAAGAAGATACTTGGAAACTTGCATGAATATAAAATGTGCATAACCTTTGGAGGACAACCTGAATACAGCTGGTACATTTTTAAGGCCAAATCTGAGCAAAGTATGAGGGATTCACTTGTTTACAGGATTATTTGGCTCTGTTTACAGGATTATTTGGCGGGGGGGGGGGGGGGGGGGGGATATGGGGAGAAATATAGTATAGATGACAAAGGAACAGATACTTAACTGCTATCAAGCGAGAGTATCTTTTCCTTTTCAATTTCCAGGAATTGAACCCTTTTTAGAAAATTCTGATCAAGAATCTGGAATAGCTGTTGGGGCTTCTTCCCTCCAAAATTTTACCTTTGGTAAGATGTCAAACCAAAAAACATTTTATATGTGCAATGAACACCATTTTTACCTCACACTCAGCTTCACCATGCCAACATTTCCTCATATTAGCTTTATCTGTGTGTGTACAGTTTGTAGAATTGTTAAATCATTTGCAAATAAACTGCAGACTTCATGACATTTCACTCAAAAAATTTCAGCATGCATCTAAGCACAAGGACATATACAGACATAACCATAACACCATGGCACCATATATCATCCACATTAAAATATCTCTGGTATCTTTTATAGCTGACTCTAATTTTTCATTTTTCTAATCCAAGATCTCATACCTTAATTATGATAATTCTTTAGTTTTCTTTAACTGCTCAAGATTAAATCTTCTAGAAGATTTCATGACACTGATATTTTTGAAGAAGCCAAATCAGTGGTTGCTTCTAGAATGTCCTACAACTTGGATTTGATTGTCTTCTCAGGATCTGGAGTCAATCAGATTAAGATTAATGTTTTGGGCAAGACACTACATAGGACACTGTGTCCTTCTCAATGTATCATATCAGGAGGCAGACAAGTTCATCTGTCCCATTACTGGTGATGCTGCTTGATCACTTGGATAAGGTGATGTATGCTAGATCTCTCTATGGTAAAGGTGTTTTTTCCCTTTGTAATGATTAAGTACAGTAATTTGGCATAATTTGAGACTGTGTGGATATTTGTTTCTCAATGACCTTTCATTCAATGTATGCAGCATCCACTGATGATCTCTGCTTGAATTACTTCATTACTTCATTAGTGACTGCCAAATGGTAATTCTCTAATTCTGTCATAACTTACACAATTTGGTGATTCTTCTATAATACGGCTGTAGATTCAGGATTCATCATTTTTATTTATTCATTATTTATTTTATTCATCATTTCCACTAGCATTACTCTTTTTGAAGTTCAAACTGCCCCCAAAATGGCTAGTAGGATACCATCAAATAGCTGATAAAAGAAGAGAAACGAAAGGCCAAAGAGAAAAGGAAAGATATACCCATTTGAATGCAGAGTTTGAAAGAACCACCAAGGAGAGATAAGAAAGCCTTCCTCAGGGATCAATGCAAAAAAATAGAGGAAAACAACAAAATAGGAAAGACTAGAGATCTCTTCAAGAAAATTAGAGATACCAAAGGAACATTTCATGCAAAGATGGGCACAAAAAAGGACAGAAAAGGTATGGACCTAACAGAAGCAGAAGATATTAAGAAGTGGCAAGAATACACAGAAGAACTATACAAAAAAAGATCTTAAAGACCCAGATAACCATGATGATGTGATCTGTCACCTAGAGCCAGACATCCTGGAGTACAAAGTCAGGTGGGCTTAGGAAGCATTACTACGAACAAAGCTAGTGGAGGTAATGGAATTCCAGCTGAGCCGTTTCAAATCCTAAAAGCTGATGCTGTGAAAGTACTGCACTCAGTATGCCAGCAAAGCCACTGCTGTTTTCCAAGTTTGGCCACAACAGTGGCCACAGGCCTGAAAAAGGTCAGTTTTCATTCCAATCCAAAAAAAAGGCAATGCCAAAGAATGTTCAAATTACCACACAACTGCACTCATCTCACACACTAGTATAAAGTAAGTAAAGTTGCTCAGTCGTGTCCAACTCTTTGCGACCCCATGGACTGTAGCTCACCAGGCTCCTCTGTCCATGGGATTTTCCAGGCAAGAGTACTGGAGCGGGTTGCCATTTCCTTCTCCAGGGGATCTTCCCGACTCAGAGATCAAGCCCGGGTCTCCAGCATTGAGACAGAAGCTGTACCGACCGTCTGAGCCACCAGGGGAGCCCAAAGCAAAGTAATGGTAAAAACTCTCCAAGCCAGGCACGTCGAGAGGGTCAGGCTGGATTTAGAAAAGGCAGAGGAGCCAGAGATCAAAGTGCCAAGGTCCCCTGAATCACAGAAAAAGCAAAGAGAATTCCAGGAAAACATCTGTTTCCGCTTCACTGACTATGCTAAAGCCTTTGACTGTGTGAATCACAACAAACTGGAAAATTCTTAAAAAGATGGGATCGTCAGACCAGCTTACCTGAGAAACCTGCCTGCAGATCAAGAAGCAACAATTAGAACCAAACATGGATCAATGGACTGGTTCTGAACTGAGGAAGGAGTATATTAAGGCTGTATACTGTCACCCTGCTTATTTAACTTACTTATATGCAGGGTACATCATGAGAAATGCTGGACTGGATGAAGCACAAGCTGGAATCAAGATTGCTGGGAGAAATATCAATAACCTCAGACATGCAGATGACACCACCCTTATGGCAGAAAGCAAAGAGGAACTAAAGAGCCTCTTGATAAAAGAGAGTGAAAAAGCTGGCTTAAATCTCAACATTCAAAAAACAAAAATCATTGCACACAATCCCATCACTTCATGGCAAATAGATGGGGAAACAATGGAAACAGTGACAGACTTTATTTTCTTGGGCTCCAAAATCACTGCAGATGGTGTCTGCAGCCATGAAATTAAAATATATTTGCTCCTTGGAAAAAAACTTTGACAAACCTCAACAGCATATTAAAAAGTAGACATTACTTTGCCGACAAAGGTCCATACAGTGAAAGCTGTAATTTTTCCAGTAGTTAAGTATGGATGCAAGATTTGGACCATAATGAAGGCTGAGCACTTAAGAATTGATGCTTTTGAACTGTGGTGTTGGAGAAGACTCTTGAGAGTCTTGAACTCTCAAGACCCTTCAGCTGAAAGATCAAACCAGTCAGTACTAAAGGAAATCAGTCCTAAGTATTCATTGGAAGGACTGATGCTAAAGCTCCAGTACTTTGGCCACCTGATACGGTAAGCCAACTCATTGGAAAAGACCTTGATGCTGAGAAAGATCGAAGGCAGGAGGAGAAGGGGACGACAGTGAACAAAATGGTTGGATGGCATTACCAACTCAATGGACATGAGTTTGAGCAAGCTCTGGGAGATAGTGAAGGACCCAGAAGCCTAGCATGCTGCAGTCCATGGGGTCACAAAGAGTCAGACACAACTGAGTGACTGAGTAACAATGAAGGATACCATCAGGCTGGCTCCTATGTTATTTCAGTGTTGTCCCCATGAGTTTTTAAATAGTTCTTTGCCTTGTTCTTGCCCTGCCACTGAAAGACATCTCTGCATAGAGTATGGGTAAGTTTTATTAGGGAAAGTACTTAGAGACCTAAATCTGGGTGCCAGGTATGCTCACTGCTGTTTGGTGTCACTGTCTTAAGCCCCTTCAGTGGGCAAGGCCAGCAAATGTATTTCTAGAATAATTTATGAGTTCACCTACAAATCACTAAGAAAATGTTAGGCCACCCAAAAGAAGATATAGGAAGCAACAGAAAACATTGTTCCCACCCTAAAGCTGAGAAAAAGCCTGATAATCTACAGAATCATAATTTTTCTTCAGCTCTTCAGAGAGCTGAGAATACGAGAAAACAAAATAACCTGAATTCCCAACAGAAGGCCCTCCAGAGGACAGACAGGTCATGAGAAGGGTTCTGCCCAAGGCAGAACATGAGATTAGGAGATAGCCACTATACACATGCAAAAGATGAAACCAGAGTGCTTTTATTAGCTCTTTCAGTACTCAAAACCACAATGTAAGATAAAAAAATTACTTGTGGGTCAAACATAATCAGCAAAGGAACTAAAAATCATGATACAACTATACTGAGAGGTGATACAGAGGACTTCTGATAGTAAGAGAGGCCAAGAGATAAGGTCTAAAACTGATAAACCAATACATGGCGTCATGCACTTAAACTGAACTGTGTATGCGTCCTCAGTCGCTCTACCGTGTCTGACTCTTTGTGATCCTGTGGACCATGGCCCACCAGGCTTCTCTGTCCACAAAATTCTTCAGGCAAGAATACTGGAGTGGGCTGCCATTTCCTTCTCCAGGGATCTTGCCAACACAGGGATTGAACCCATGCCTCCTGGATTGGCAGGCAGGTTCTTTACCACTGCACCACCTGGGACGCCTCCGACACTGAATTATACACGGAAAAATGGTTATGATGCAAATTTCAAGTTTTGTGGGGGTTTTTTAAACTACAATTTAAAAAAACAGCATCATAGGTATACTAATTAATGAGAACAATTAGAACAACCAGGTAAAATTATTTCCTCTGTGGGGTTATACTTCAGATAGGAAAGGGTAAGAAGAGGAATTGGTTTCATTCTAACATTATTTGAACTATTACATTTTATTTTTTTAAATAGGTATTAGCTTGTAATTTTTTCAAATTCTGATGAAAAGACTTCCTTACCTTGATCTGTAAGACATCAAGTGGAACTGTCTCTCCTTTCACAATGGCAAGTGTGGCATCGGTAATATGTCTAAAAGATAACAAGAAGGAAATGATCATGTTGTGAAAAATAAACAACAGTCCCCCCCAAGACACACACACAAAACCATTCCTGCCCAGAGTACTAACAGTTGAATCAGGGAAAAGACATACTCCTTTGAAATACCCCCAAGAAAGCAGAGTGAACGAGTGTAAAAGAATTGCTGATACAAATAGAGTGGAAGGCTCCGATACAGACTCAAAGAGAAGGCTTCAGCAAAGAGAAGTTTATCCGAATTTATTTATTTATATCATTTATTTACTTCAATCATTTATTTACTTCACACTTACAGAGGGTCTACATTGTGTCCAACTCTTATCATTGGAAATTATGATAAAAAATAAATAACATAACATCTTTCATTCATTGTAACAAAGTCAAGCACTTCAAAAACCATATACCTTTTTACTCTGATAACCTGAAGGATAACTAAAGGACAGGACTAGTTGGCTCAGTGGTAATGAATTCGCCTGCCAGTGTAGGAGACATGAATTCGATCCCCTGATCCAGGAAGATTCCAAATGCCGCAGAGCAACTAAGCCCATGTGCCCCAACTACCAAGCCTGTGCTCTAGAACCAGGGAGCTGCAACTGCGGAGCTCACGTGCCGCAAGTACCAAAGCCCATGTGCCCCAGAGCCCACGCTGTACAACAAGAGAAGTCACCGCAATGAGAAGTCCATGGACTGCAACTAGAGAGGAGCCCCTACTTGTTGCAATTAGAGAAAAGTCCACACAGCAACAGAGACACAGCACAGCCATAAAAAAAAATAAATAAGTAACATTATTTTAAAAAGGAAAAAAAAGCTACTAAGTATCACTGGTGTGGGGATTACATTCAAAAGAAGAAAATAAAAAATAAAGGACAGGATTTGTTGAAGTTATTTTAGAAAAATATAATAAATCCTCAAAATATACACGTTAATGCTTGGATGACATTCTGGGTTCCCTAGTAAGCAAGCTGAAACTTAAGAAACAACCTCATTTACTTTCTCAAATTTCTCTTTATCCCATTTTTCCCCTCCAAGACAGATGCTATGTGGGAAGCAGGTAGAAGTCTAGAAAATGAGATTCAATTTAGGAGATAGCAAGATGCATGATCACCAGTTCAGATTAATTCGATATGAATATATTAATTTCAAAGGAAGCTATCAGAAAGAATGCTAAAGTTCCATGCTTGCTCTGAGTGGTACCTAGCACATTAAGAGGTTTAAGAAGTGCTTTTGAGAGGCTGACCTTTAAAAAATGTTCCAACTGAAAAATGCCTTTCCATATTAATTTTTTTCAAAATTGCTTGGCAGAAGATGGTTAACATGCAACCTTAAATTTGTCATCCTCTGGCAATAATTGAAAGTTCTAAATAAAGCAGCCCTGTAGCATGGAATAGCTATTTTTTAGGATTATTTATCTGCAACATTCCGAATTCAAAATTCCTTTTTTTCTGTAGTAATTATGGTACAACAAATCTTGACAGCAATGCAAAAAGCAAAGCCTTGTTCTCTTAAATAGCCTCAGGCACCTGCCATGTTAAGAGGGTCTACAAAATTCTGAACCCAGGGCAGACCGACTTAATTACCTAAGAGCCCTGGGGCATGCTTATAAATTAAGTTTTTAAAATCTTCAAATTATAAATAGAAGCAGCAACAACATTTGTTTAACTACAGGGAAAATCAGCTCTCAAGACACTGAGGGCTATCTAAGGCCTTGAGGGTGGGCGCCCAGCCTAGACCCTGGCTTTGGATAGGTGAAAGGTTCTCCCAGGAACACCATCTGCCTCTGCATTGCTGACATATTCGGTGATGCTGGCAAGCAGTTCAAATAATCTACACTGACAGGCAGAAAGACCAGCTATCACAAGTGATCAAGACCCGAACCAGACAGGATTTGTCTCTGACAAGCAGAAGTGTTTAACTCACTGGTTGTCATATTTATTGTCCCTCAGAAATTCTAGACTGGTGGAAAATATACAGCAAAATGAAATGCCACGTTCGGCTGCAGGAAGACTGGTGAAGGGCTGGATACTCCCAATTAGATGAAGACTTGAGGCATGAGGGACGTTTTAATAAAGACCTGGTATTAGTATATGTCTACATGTATGCCTAATCTGTGATATATGGACCAAGGCTTTTATCTAAAACAAAGAACTGAATTGTTAAAAGATATAAGATGACTCCTAAAATTAAACAGCAATAATAAATCCATAAAACCAGTCTATTCAAAATCCCCAAGCAGAACTGGACAGCCACATGCAAAAGAATGAAACTGCACCACTAGCTTACACTACACATAAAGATAAACTCAAAATGGACTAAAGACCTGAATGTAATAAGACCTGAAACCATAAAACTCCTAAAAGAAAACAAAGGGTAAGCTCCTTAACGTAAGACTTGGTGATGATTTCTGAACCTGATACCAAGAGCAACAAAAGCAAAAATAAAAAAGTGGGACTACATCATACTAAAAACCTTCTGGAGAGCAAAGGAAATAAGCAACAAAATGAAAAGGCAACCTGATGAATGGGAAAAAGTATTTGCAAGTCATGTATTTCTAAGTGGTTAATATCCAAAACATATAAATATCTCATATAACTCAACAGAGGGAAAAAAAATTCACTTGAAAAATGAGCAGATGATTGGAGCAGACATTTTTCCAAAGACATGCAGATGGCCACAGGTACATGAAAAGATGGCCCGGGATCATGAAACTTCAGGGAAAAGCAAACTGAAACACATAGAAATATCCCCTCATACCTGTGAGAATGGCTATTATCAAAAAGATAAGAGATAACAAGTGTTATAGAGGATGTGGAGAAAAGGGCACCCTTCTTCACAGTTGGTGGGAATGTTAAATTGGTACTGTGGAAAACAGTATGGAGATTCCTCAAAGAATTAAAAACAGAACTTTCATACAATTCAGCAATGCCACTTCTAGCTATTTATCCAAAGAAAACAAAAACACTAACTCACAAGATATATGCACCATATTTGTTGCAGCATTATTTACAATAGCTAAGATATGGAAACAAGCTAAGTGTCCACTGACAGATAAATGGATAAAGAATCTGTGATACATGTATATGTTCGTGCACACACACATAGTATTCAACAATAAAAAAGAATGAAATTATGCCATTTGCAACAACATGGATGAACCTGGAGGGTGTTGTGCTAAGTGAAGTCAGACAGAGAAAGACAAATACTATATGATCTCACTTATATGTGGGTGGCATCTTAAAAAAGTTCATAAATGACACAGGACAGATTGGTGTTTGTCAGAGGTGGGGTGTGGGAGGTGGGCAAAATAGGTGAAGGGAGTCAAAAGTTACAAAATAAGTTAAGTCCTGGGGATGGAAGGTATAGCATGGCAACGAATGCTAATACTGTGCTGTATGTTCGAAAGTTTTAAAGACAGCATATCTTAAAAGCTCTCATTGTAAGGGAAAAAATTCTGTAACTATTGTCTGGTGGCAGATGTCAACTACACTTACCCTGGTGGTATACACATATTGAATCATTGTGTTGTACATCTGAAACTAATATAAGGTTGTATGTCCATTATACTTTAATTTAAAAGAAAAATCCCAAAGCAGAAACAAAAAAATAATCCAAAAGAGAAAGTCACCTGCGTATTGTTATTGTCACTGATTTTGGAAGGTTATATACAGATATGCCTTGAGAATATTTCAATTCATTCATTCAATAAATACTATTTATTGACCTCTCCAATGTGTCACAAAGCCTTAAAGATCAGGCATTTAAAATGGATGGCCAACGAGGACCTACTGGACAGCACAGAACTATGCGAAATGTTATGTGACAGCCTGGACAGGGAGTAGTTTGGAGAAGGGATACATGGATATGTATGGCCGAGTCCCTTCACTATTCACCTAAAATTATCACAACATTGTTAATCGGCTATATCCTAATACAAAATAAAGAGTTCAAAAAATAAATAAAGATCAGGCAACCAACAATGAGAATCTGAAAATGACTTGTCCAAGATTCTATTTTTAATCAAAGTCATGACTCAAATTCAAGATTCCCATCTTCTTGAAAACTCGATTTTTGTTTACATAATGCTTTCAAAAGAAAAGTGCAACAGTAACAATTTGCCTGACTCCTGAAGACAGAAGTAGACGGGCAGCAATTTAATTTAGATGTCAGGGCTGCACTGCTTTCTGCCTACCTTCTCCGTACTGTTTTCTACTTTGGGAATTCCCTAAAGGAGGTAATTTGGCTGTTTTAGCTACTTATATTATCAAGGTAATGGAGCCAAGGCTGCTGGCTCGGTCTCCACAGGGGATTTGCTATTTGTCATCATGCATACTTAACGCAAACAAATGAGCACTGCGAATCTGTCTTCACCAGAGAATCCTACAACACAAAAGCACACAAATAGTATGTTTGGATCAGCAGAGCTATCTTAAGAGACAAAAGGACATCAGTATTCGTAGCCATACCCCACCTGGCGACTTAATATTAGATCACCAGGGTCCCACCACCCAACAGAGAAACTTCCCCATCAACCAAAAGCTTGAACTCTGATCTCCTCCTCCGTGATCTGAAGTTTCAGGCTAGCGAAACGCAGAAGGAAAACTGTATCACACATGCGGATCTGCCATTCCCAGGCTCTCTCACCCACAAATGCTACCATCCCACATTGGCGACCTACTGGACTTTGTTTCCACTTTCGGCAAAGAGTGTCTGACTCAAACTACAGGTCTGGCCCAGTGGGATGAATCCGATGGGAATCTTACTGAAGGTAGCCTGGGGGGAAGCAAATGAGAGGGAAGTTTTATTGTTATGGTCAGAAAATGAGATTGAACAAAGAGGCACAGACGTGTCCATAAAACAAAGTAAGTGACCCTGGCCCTGCCTCCCTGTCTTCCTTCCCACACCCCTAAACCAGCCATCAAGGTAGTCCTGAGGAAGCAGTTTCTAGAACAAGGCAGTTCATGAAAACAACAAAACTTCAAATTTAGAAGAAATACTTCAATACTCACTAATAGCAATGGGTTGAAAAGAAATTTGGTTAAGAAAATGAGTGTCTTGGGTATTACATAGCTGCATGACTGTGACAGACTGTATTACGTTGCCACACTATTTGACAAAGTTGCAGATAAAATTCAATGAAAAATGTCTAACATTGGTATAGTGACTGAGGACAGGTGAAACTGCCTTGTAAACTATTGCAAGTATCAACAAGGCTATGAGAATATGCAAGGTCAAGTAGCAGAAGAATGGCATAGCAGAGGACTCAATTAAATGCTGCAAATACTAACAGATACCGTAAGGTTCTAAAGACTATTTTGAGCTCAATCTATTATAACCAAGGGACTGCAAAGGATCTTCTTCCTTGTGGTTACTTTCTTTTCTCTGTTGTATTTCTTATTTAAAATACTTTATTGTAGAAAAGTGGATTAAATAATCTCAAAACACCCATGTAACTAAGACCCAGATTTGGCAAATATTACGTTTTTGCCCTATTTGCTTCAGTTTTAAGAGAGAAATTGATGCAGATGCAGGTCAAGTCCCTTCTTACTCTCTTCCTCTTTCCCTTCCCCAAAGGAAACCAACCATCCATTATCATAGACTTTGTACAGTTCCTCTCCATCCACGTTATTATCCTTTGACTACAAAGTTGATGTGTCCATCAACAGTATCTTTGTTCTCTGAATTTTAAAACTTTGTAGAAATGCATTAACATGCTTTGGCAACCTAACTTTCTTATTGAATATTTTTTAGATTTATCACGTAGATGTTTGTAAGCCTAGTTCATTCATTTTAACTGTTGTGTGGCTTCCAACATATGAATATACCATGGTTTATTAATGAAGGAATCCTTTGAGAAAAAGATTTTATAGGGAAATTTTATAGTTTAAACAACTCTTGGTAAAAAAAAAAAAAAAAATCATTGGATATTCTAGGTTCCCAAAGCAGAAAAGTCCACCACAGGTTAATAGAAGTGTTCTATGACAGGCAGATTTTACTTTCTAAAATCCAAGGAAGCAAAACTTGTTCCCACCTTAAAACATAAAATAGGGAGGAAGGGAGGGAGGGAGTGAGGAAGGGAGGAATAAAGAAAGAGGAGGAAAGTAAAAGCCAAAATGCAATTATTCTTAAAGCTCACCTCATCTGCTCTTCGAAGAACTCCAGTAATAACCTAAAAATGTTTTTAAAAATTATTATAAACACCTTGTAGTTCCTTTATCATAAAATAATTGGATTCAATTTTCATGGACCACAAACTTGTTCCTGTTTTCTTCCTAGAAACTATGTCAAAAGATGTACTGGTTCTTAAAATACAAACCATTCTCCAATAGGATCAGAGCTAAATTAGGTTTTATTATTCACCTGGCATCAATAGGACTATAAAGACTAAGACAAAATAATTATAAAACCTCCACATTATATTAGCAGAATTACGTTTTAAGTTCAATAAGATGGGTCACTCAGAAGCCTGCTCTCAATAAATGTTTCTTATCAATGAATACAAAGACAAGGGGAATTGTGTTCTCTCTATAAAAAGACATTTTTAATTTGAATTTTTACATAATTTACTTTTCACTTTTAAACTATAACGCACAAGTCTTGTAAAAACTGTAAAAAATACCTGAAGAAAGAATACTTCCTCATTAACCCACCAGACATCATTAGTGAGTTGTTTACATTGTTACATTTCTCTCCAATTCTTTTTTTTTTAAATTGGGGCATAGTTTTATGAGTAGATCATACCAGATACACAATTTGGTATCTTTCTTAAAAACATTTTGTAAAGTCAAGGCTGACGCCAATCTTCTCCCCCATCTCCTGCCTCCCAGAATTTTGGGATTAAATGGGGCTCTGATGTGGCCCACTTCATTCTTTGTTGGCATGCTATCTGTTTTCTTCACACTTCATTAAAAAGCCATAAAAACAATTACAAGATCATTAGCACAGCCTTTTAAAAAGCAGCTTACTAAGGCTCACATGGTTGCTAAATTAAACACAGGACAATGCCCTGCCTGCTGGCAGCTCTTGATCCATAAACACCGAGGAAACCACCAGGCAGAGGCAAAAGGCGAGAAATGAGGTTTGGGCGCAACTTTTACACAGGATGGGGTGACTGAGTGGGAGGAGTCCCCGCACTGGGCTCTTCAGGGGCTTCCAATACATAATGAAGGTTCTAGTCTACTGCCCTGGAAGAGAAGAGCATTCCCAGGGCAATATACTTACTGTCCCAGGCAAGCAATATGGAAAAGGGATTGCAGAACAAAGGCAGTACACACACTAGAACATGGAAACCTCTGCCTCTAAAGGTACCATTAGGAGATAATATTACCTAGGATGGAATGTTGTGAGAATGGACAGATGCATTCTTTTAAAAAGGGAATCATTATTTAAGTTTTACAAGAAACCTTCCCATAATTAAAACTATGATACCATAATAAACAGGGCTACTGCAGAAAAGTGGTAAAAATGTAAAAAGCATTTCACACCCAGAACCATTTTGTACCCTGTTTTATTTCACTTTATCCACCTTCAATTTGATAGAACAGAAACCTTTCTATGTGCTGGGTTCAGAATTTATACAAAGCAATGAAATAAAAGTCCATAAGGAAAAATGTAATGCTATGCTTGCTTCCCAGAGAAACAATGCTAGAAGAAATCATTTCCTTACATGATAATCACTTTATGCCCCCGCTCTAAGACCTCACTGCTATTTTCCTCATTTTCAAAACGGCTTCAGACAGAAAAGCAGCCACACCTCTTGCAGAGTCCCATCTCCTCCAGCGACAATGATCACATCTGTGTTTTCCATCAGTTCCAGGAGTTTCTTGGCTTGGCCCTCATAATCTGTCTGCAATACAAAGGAAGCCTTTGGTAAATGTATCATCCTAGAGCCATAAGCCCAAAGGTCTAAAAATGTAGAAGTTTCTTTACAGTTTTGCACTGAATCTTTTCTTAAATCCTACATAATTGATGCATATGAAAAACTAAATAGCTGCTAAAGCAACTAGATATGGTTTTTATAGTTTTATCTGTTTAGAGCTGGAAGGGACCTCAGAAACCATCTAGTCAGCTCCTTGCTTTTAAAATAAAACTCACTCAAACTGATGTGTCTCAGTTACAGTTAGCCAGTCAGGGGACTCATTTCCAGGCCAGTGCAAATTCTATTACTTCATTTACCCAATGACTTTCATCTGAAAGCAAGAGGTCAAATGTATATGCAAATAAGGAGAAACAAATATAATGAAAAAAGCACAGATTTGAGAGCCCAAGAGACCCAGATTAAACCCCAACTCTATTTTTTAGCCGAGTGGCTTTAAACCCTCAAGATCTTAATTTCCTTATCAATGAAATCATGTGTACTGGAAGAAAGGGTAAGAGATTTCCCGTAACACTGTTGGAAAGCAGTATGAAAAGCAAACAGTGAGATGCCTGTTCTTAACTGGTACTGTGCTAGCTCATGGCTTCCCCGGTGGCTCAGCTGGTAAAGAACCCGCCTGCCAATGCAACAGACACAGATCCAATCTCTGGGTCGGGAAGATCTCCTAAAGAAGGAAATGGCAATCTGCTCCAGTACTCCTGCCTGGAAAGTTCCATGGACAGAGGAGCCTGGTGGGCTACAGTCCATGGGGTTGCAAAGAGTTGGACACGACAGAGTGACTAAAACCAAATATTGGATTTTAACAGATGTAAAGGTAATGCCGTTAATAATAAGGAAACACTATCTCCTGTGGACACTTTACTAGACAAACTAATAGGCAAAAAATTAAGAGACTGAGGTTTCAGATGGGCTAAAGCATCTGGGCCACTGTCAACACAGAAAAAAAAAATGAAGTCCCTACACTAACATCATCTCATCTTATGATGAATGGTTCTACTTCTATCCTGAAAAATCAAATGACTGGCTTTGCAGTTATACATTTGCAAATACATCTTTTTTTCACACTTAACAGCTTATTAGAAAGGATCTAGATGAACAAATGAAGAGGTACAAGGGGCGAACTGTGTGGGGAGGGGCGTCCCATGTCCTCTCTAGCACACCACTTCTCAGATCTCCACAGGTTCACCAGCCCAGAAGCTCTCTGAGCCCTGTCCCTTCGGGTTTTTACGTTGGTTTCATTACATACCCATGGTTGATTAAATCGTTGCCCTCTGGTGATTGAGCTCAATCAATCCAAATATTTCATTTAAAAAAAAAAAAGAATATATATTGATCCTAATTTAAAAGGAGGCTTTGTAAACATCCCAAAATAGGTGACCACTGGTAATCTGCAAGGGTTCTCCAAGAACAAGGCGTCTCAGACTATTCTCATCTTTGACAGATTACTAGATAAACGATACGGGAATGCAAACAGACATTCTATCTGGTCCTCAGCAAGGCACCTGGCAAGCTGTTTGATCATATCCTTGGAAACAAGGTGGAGATAAGTGGGAACAATACACTAGAATACAACTGGGTGAACTGATTACCAAGTGAATGTCTATGCTCAAAGTAACACGCCCCCAGTAGAGGAACATCAAATTGTAGGTAGATTCCTGGTCGCATTTCTTTAGGGCTCTCCTTTCAGACTTCTTCTGCATAACACTTGATCAACAGAGAGGAAAGGTCATTTACTGAATATGTAAGTGATACAAGCCTGACAATCTTGCCCTTCCCGACTTCTCCAGCCTCATCCTCTCTGCCAGTCTCTCCTTGCTCATCCTCCTCCAACTACACTGGCCTTCTCACTCTGCCTCAAACACCCACAAATACTCCGCAGAGCCTCTGAACGTGCAGTATGCTGGCCCTGGATCCTCTCCCTCGCCCACCCTGCATGATGCTCTGATTTCCTCCAGGTCCCTTTCAAAGGGCATCTTATAAGACCAGCCTTCCTTGGCTTCCTGAACTAAGCTAACACCCCCGTTACTTTTTTTAATCCCTTTTGACTTTTCCTCTTGGCACTCACCACCACCTGACAAATCCTAAGTTTATTTATATATGTTTATCATGTGCATCCCTTCTTTTCACACTTTAGAATTTCTCTGAGGACAGGGAAAATGCTTTGTTCAGACTCTACCCTCAATACCTAGAACAGAGTTTACTTTATACGAGGTGCTGTTGTTGCTCAGTTGCTAAGTAGTGTCTGACTCTGTGACCCCATGGACTGTAGCCCACCGGGTTCTTCTGTCCACAGGCTATTCCAGGCAAGAATACTGGAGTGGGTTGCCATTCTCTTTTCCAGGGGATCTTCCTGACCCAGGGATCAAACCCACATCTGCTGAATTGGCACGTGGATTCTTTACCACTGAGGCACCTGGGGTACTCAAATATTTGCAAGAAAAAAGTGAAAAATAGGAAAGTACATGAATGAAAGAATCAAAATTTCAAAAGACATTGACACATTTAACAGACCATAATTGAAAAGATTACATTAATAGGGATGATATATTTGAGGCTCTAACCTTAAGAGGAAAATTCTAAATGCACCAAACAGAAAGGACAAAGAGTGGCCTAAGGATGCAGAAAACTCAAATTTTATACCTTTCATAAAAATTAACTCAAAATGGATCACAGATCTAAATGCAAATAAAAATCTATAAAATTTCTAGAAAATAACATATTAGAGGATCTAGGTGATCCTGGGTTTGGTGATGAGTCTTTAAATAAATCACCAAAAGCAAACCTAAAAGAAAAAATTGGTAAGTTGGACTTTCTTAAAATTAAAAAGATAAGTAAAAATTATACCAGGCAAAAACTAACCAAAGTAAGCCAGTATGGTTACTAATAACACTAAATAAAATAGACCACAGTAAAAGACAATGTTAATGCTAAAGGGTCACTCTATGATGGGTTCAAAATGCAAGAAAAATGAAATAACTTGAAATGTGAATTCATCTACTGACACAGTCGTAAAATATAAAAGAGCAAAAGTGGATAAAACTGCATTGGGAAATAGACAAATCTACCCAGGGGGATATTTCTAACACCTCTTTCTGAATATCTATAGTTAAAACAGAAGAAAACAGTAAGGATGTATAAATTTTGAGCTACACAATTAACAGACTTGACTTACTGGGCATATATTGAACATGGTGCCCAGATACCTCTTGTTCTTCTCAGAAATACATAAAACATTTATGAAAACAAACCACATGCTAGGCCATAAAACAAATTTCAATAAACTTGAAAATATTAGAATTATATAGACTATATTCTTGGACTATAGCACAATTAAATCAGAAATCATTAACAAACAGATGTGGGAAAATTTTATATTTGAAAATTTTAAAACATGCCTAAATAACTCACAGGTCAAACAAAAATCATGATGGAAATTAGAAAATATTTAGAAATGAATGATAATGAAAATAAATCAAAACTTCTAGGATGTAGCTGAATCAGCAAACACTAGGAAAGAAGGGTGAAAATCAATGAAATAAAGATTCAAGTTAAAATGTCAGAACAGCAGAAGCAGAAAAAAAAATCCAAAGAAAGTAGAATGAAGGAAACAGACTAAAAATTAATGAAACAAACATAAATAAAGGGATCAACAGGCCAAAAAATGGTTCTTGGCAAGGATTAAATTGACACAGCTCTCATATGACTGGGAGGCAAAAAAAAAGATGGTATGGATAAACAATAAAATATAGAGCATGACAATGATTTATTTCAGATGGTACAGAAATTTAAAAGAAGATTTTATGAACAATTTGATTCTATTAATTTGAAAACTTAAGATGAAATGCACAAATTTCTTTAAAAATTTTAACCTTACCAATATTAAATTAATAGAACATCTTGATGTACTTCTACAGGCACTAAAGAAATTTAATACATACATACAAAAAAATTTCCCTTCAAAGAAAGCTCCAAGCAGGCCCAGGTGGTTCTACTTTTGAGTTCAACCAAACATTCCAGGGATAAATAGTATTAGTCTTAAGTGACCATTCCCAGCTCTCTTATACATAGTCTGCAGTATACATGACAGGTTCTAAAATAAACATCAGTGTTCTTCCCCTCTCTCCCATCCTGGAAGACCATGTCTCAGACACAGTGGAGTTCAGCACTGCATGGTCAATTGGACTAAATGACCATTTAATCTCTAAGATTTAATGAAAGTGTGTAATATGAAAAATCAGTAAACCACAGACTTAAAAAACAGGTAACACAGTGATTTTTACCAAATACATAGACCTGTGTACACACCGTACACACAGCACTTAAAGACAACAAAGTGGAGCCTTGAGGCATCTTCTGAAATACACAATTCCCTCTCATTTATTTTTGACCCCCTTTCTTCATGTAGAAATCTCAAAAATTCTAAAGCTTTACAACTTAAAATTCCTCACCAGAGATAACTCCTCACCAGAAAGAAAATGTTTACCTGTCTGCCAAGAAATTAATTACTCGAAGTTGTTTTTTTTAGAGTCAGAGGAATTCTTACAGCTATGACAACTTTTCATCTTCTAAGAGACAAGCGTTCCAAGTCCTATCTTTCAGAGGAAAGGAACCGAGTTCATATCTTCATTTAATCCTATTCTGAAAATGAAAAGCTGAGAGTGGTTGGGAAAAACAATATAATTGTATTAATTATCAGAAGAAGAACACAATGGTGATTTCTCTGTTCTTACCTCCTTACGTGATAAACAATTCCTGCTAAGAAGTCAAGAGAACAGGATATGTTATAAGGAGGGGTGGCTTGGATAAAATCAACACTCTAGAGCAATTCTCACCTTAACGATAGTAACATCCATGCCAGATAAGTGTAAAATCGGGGCAGCATTTTTTTCAAATAGAGTCCTGGCTTTGCTGTAAACGAAGGAAAAAAATACAAATATTTTAACAGGAGTGATCAGGAGGGAAAATAAAGAGCCCAACCATCTTCTCTAGAATAGGACAAGGAACAGCCTACAGAACACAGGTTTCCTCTATTTGTTCAACACAGGAAGACTAATGATGAGTAATGAGTTTCTCTGGGTAGAAACACGGACTCTCTCACTCTAGGGCCTCCAGGAGCTTGCCCCTATCCATATGGGATGCTTACAGTTCACATTCTAGCTCCTCCAGAGGAAAAGGGTACACTAGATACGGCTCCAGTCTAACAACAAAGTCTGATTCATTCAACAAGCACTACCGACCTTCTACTGTGTGCTAGACACATCTAGGAGCTGGACAAACAACAGGACAAGGCAGACAAACATACGCGTAATTCAGGTATAATGTAACAAGCCCTTGAGGAGCTTCGTTATAGTCTGCTGCTGGACTGAGAATGTATTTAACATTTTTCATGTGGCCAGAGAAAACAGACTGAACCAAACAGAATATTGCTTAATTCTGACTCAGTGAACACAACCTTTGAAGGAAAGAGATATTATTTTTAACAATTTCAAATACTAGGGGTATCTCCATTTCTTGAGTTTTAAGCCTATAGTGAAATCCCTGGAGAAAGAGCAAAATTCTTTTCCACAGAGGCAGAATTTCTGCTGGGAAAGGGAAAAATTCTAAATTACCTAATCTTAATATGGGATAATTGATTGGCAGCTTGTCTAAAACTCCAAGGGGCTTCCCTTGTGGCTCAACTGGTAAAGAATCCGCCTGCAATGTGGGAGACCTGGGTTCAATCCCTGGGTTGGGAAGATCCCCTGGAGAAGGGAAAGGCTACCCACTCCAGTATTCTGGCCTGGAGAATTCCCTGGACTGCACAGTTCATGGGGTCGCAAAGAGCCGGACACGACGGAGCGACTCTCACTTTCACTTTTTAAAACTCCCAGTCACGTGCTTTTCAGGGTAACCCTGGCACACGGTCCACACCTCTCGTGGGGACTTTCATATTCTGTGATGAATAGTGGTTCCCAAGACAGTCTTCAGCACTAGACTGGAAGCCTTGCAAAAACACACACCAAACCTTATTAATCCTTGAGTCCTGTGGCCTTTAGCATTATGACTGGTATACTTGGAAGGTTATTTAGTAAGCACCTGGTACATTAATACACTTATGAATGAATGAATAATCCATTCCAAATGTAGACAGGTGTATTGTGAGGAAAAGGAAGTGAGACAATTGTGGTATCTTATAACAACAGAAATAAAGCGCTCTTAGAGTTTGTGTGTTTTAAAAGTATACACAGCATTCTAGTAGTGACCCTTGTCCAATTCAGGTCAAGATTCAAAAACAAAAGCCTAGAAATCAAGGGATGCAGAAGCTGCAGAAAGTTTCCAACCATACAGTCTCAAGGTTGAATAAAGGTTAAACCTATCAATCAGCTGACTTGTCTTTTACCCAAATATTTTCAACTATCGTATCACAAAACAGAAACAAAAACTAGCACTTTCAAAACAATCAACACCAAACATCTAACTTTTACATTCACACTTACCCAGTCCTCTATCAAAAAGATTATTTTTCTTATCAGTGAGGCATGCTTTGAATTTCTTAAGAATATTTTATACTAGAAAGAGATGCAAAAGTAGTGAATGAGGAACATGTATAAAGTTATGCACAGACCAAATTCAACATTCTTTAAAAAGAAGCAACTACCAAATGGAATACAGAACATAAAACGTTTCTGATTAAGAATGAAAACAGAAATTGAGAAACTTGAGTAAATTTTCACAAGGGCCAAAAGAACAGCTTGAACCAAGGGCCCACCTAGGCAGGTAATAAGCAAACCAAACAAACCTATCCTCCCTCTTCTACGGCTCTGAATGCTTGTTAGAATGAATGCTGCTGCTGCTAAGTCGCTTCAGTCGTGTCCAACTCTGTGCGACCCCATAGACGGCAGCCCACCAGGCTCCCCCGTCCCTGGGATTTTCCAGGCAAGAACACTCGAGTGGGTTGCCATTTCCTTCTGCAATATTTGAATGAATGGGAAAGGCTAAATGGAAACCCCTCCTTCCCAGACCACCTTTTCTGGGGCTTACACCAACAATAAAGGCTGAACTGGTGATACTGTAAACACTTCTTGCAGGACTGCTTTCATTAACGGGCTGATAAGAAAGGGTCAGGTGGAAGTGGTCCAGATCTATCTCGGGGAGGCAGAACTCTGGAGAAGTCTCAAGTGGCTGTATTAATCACTTATAACACACCTGGGGGCTCCTCTGAGTTAGCTTAAGAAATAAGACTTGCAAAAGTACAATGAGGTATCACCTCACACACAGTCAAATGGCATCATCAAAGAAATCTACAAACAATAAATTCTGGAGAGTGTGTGGAGAGAAGGGAACCCTCTTTCACTGTTGGTGGGGATGTAAATTGGTTCAGCCACAATGGAGAACAGTATGGAGGTTCCTTAAAAAACTGAAAACAGAGGTACCATATGATACAGCAATCCCACACCTGGGCATAACATATATTTGGAAAAGATGAAACTCTAATTTGAAAGGATACATACATGCACCCCAATGTTCACAGCAGCACAATTTACAATAGCTAAAACATGGAAGCAACCTAAGTGTCCATTGATAGATGAATGGATAAAGATGTGGTGTGTATACACATGCATATGCATGCGCACACACACACACACACACACAGAGTGGAATATTACTCAACCATAAAAAGAATGAAATATTGTCATTTGCAACAACATGGATGGACCTAGAGATCATCACACTAAGTGAAATAAGTCAGAAAGAACAATACAAATATTATATAATATTACTTACATGTGGAATCTAAAAAATAAATTTATTTTAAAAACAGAAATGAACTCACAAACATAGAAAACAAGCTTATGGCTACCAAAGTGGGGAGGGATAAATTAGGAGTATGGGATTAACAGATACACACTATTATATATAAATTAGATAAACAAAGAAGATTTACCAGTTTATTGGTTTTTTTTTTTTTCTGGCCAAGCAGCATGTGGGATCTTAGTTCCCTGACCAGGGACTGAAGCCAAGCCTCCTACATTGGAAGCATGGCATCTTAATCACTGGATGGCCAGGGAAGTCCCAACAAAGATTTACTGTATAGCACAAGGAACTATATTCAATGTATTATAATAATAATCAATAATGGAAAAGAATCTGAAAAAAAAATATGTATATATAACTGAATCATTCTGCTGTACAGCTGAACCTAACACAATACTGTAAATCAACTGTAATTTTAAAAAAAGAAAAAACTATCTGAACATTTGGGACTTTATTCACATATTTATGTGATGCTACAGGTACAGAAAATCTCTAAGATGAAAGTGAAGACTTTTTTTTCCTTCTAATGTTCCATATAAAAGATTGAAAAACAAGTGTTAAAAAAAAAAACACAAGTGTTACCAGTAAGAAATGTATTATTTATTATATAATTAAGGGTGAGATAGAACCAGAGCCAAATAAAAACTTTCTATACTACAGCAATTTCCAGGTTCATGCACACACAAAAAATAATTACTCCTTAATGTATTATGTATTAATGCTAAACACAGTTATCTTATTTCCTAAAGCTCTAATGTAGTTTTAAACCAGTACTACATAATGAAATAGCTACATGATAAATTATAAATTATGTGTCAGGGCAGAGCCAAGATGACAAAAATAGAACAATTAAGTAGCAAAAGCTATTTCAGAGTGACTGCTTCCTAGAAGCATGCAGGGATTCACCTTGTCAAAGTGGACCATGACTTTAGAAAAATTTTCCTTACCCTCATCTGCAGATAAAGGCATCATACTTTTCAACACTAACTTCACCTTTAAAATCACAAATACATTTCCATGTAAAAGTGTAAACAGAACCTAAAACTGCTTTTTAAAGTGTCTTCATTGTTTAAAAATGCAAATATCTCTTAGATGTAAAAATTCAAAATGACTGATTATAGCTTAAACAATTGCCATATAGATCATCAAAATTGGCAACTTACTAACTTACTAGGTCTGGAAAGGAATAGGACCTGGAACAGTTACATTAATGCGGACAGAAGGAGAGGTCCAAGGATGGACAGCCAAGTAAAGAACCTTTTGAACTCAGCCTACAGGTCAGTAAGGGCTTCCCTGGTGGCTCAGTGGTTAAAAAACCCGTATGCCAATGTAGAAGACGCAGGAGGCTCGAGTTCGATCCCTGGGTCGGGAAGATCCCTGAAGGAGGAAATGGCAACCCACTCCAGTAGCCACGCCTGAAAAATCCCATGGACAGAGGATCCTGGTGGGTTACAGTCCGTGGGGTTGCAAAGAGTTGGACATGACACAGTGACTAACACTATAGGTCTGAAACAACAAGAACAGCAGCTTATATTTCTTTAATCGAATGCTAATTATGAAATGGAAGGAATGCAAAATGCTTTAGAGGTGTTATCTCATTTAATCCTAAAGGATTACATGGTAATTTTTATAAGGTATGTGCCATTATTTTCCCATTTTACAGATGAGTATAAATTGAGGAGTAAAGAAACTAAAAAGCAACACCCACAGCATCACAGAGCAGAAGACAGGATACAGACCTGGTCCTCCAGACTCTCAAACTCACATCCAGGTCCCTGCTGGCTTCTCCCAAAAGCCACCAGCGACTATTTAGCTGTCTTGGGTATTTTGATTATGTTCTGTTGGTATTTTTGTTTAGTGCTGGATTTAAACAAGAATGAGGGAAGTCCCTGGAGGTCCAGTGGGTAAGAATCCACCTTGCAATGCCAGGGAAAGTGAAAGTGAAAGCCGCTCAGTTGTGTCCGACTCTGTGACCCCATGGACGATACAGCCCATGGAATTCTCCAGCCCAGAATACTGGAGTAATGCTGGGGGCACAGGTTCAATCCCTGGTTGGGGAACTAAGATCCCATGAGCCACAACTAAGACCCTATGCAGCCAAGTAAATAAATATATATAAATAAATATTGAATAAGAACAATCACAAGGGCTTATGATAAGCATGTTTAGGGGGACAGGAAGTGGCTCCAACAAAGGTGGGCAAATCTGATTCAATTAGGTAGTGCAATGGAGCCGATTTAGGCAATCTGGAGGTAAGTATCTTAAATTGCTGAATTCAAAAGAAATAAGGCATGGCTAGTCCTCATATCTGTGAAGCCACACTTACTATCTCCCTAGAAAAGACAAGAGAAACTTATTTCAGAACTCCTGCTTTTCTTTCCAGACGTCAAACTTCCCACTTAAGAGCCACTCCCAGCTATGCTTTTTGTTGTTTTTCTCATTATCTTAATTCCATTTGATTTTGACCTTATAGAATCCAATTTAATACAGATTTATTAATTTTCCGATCCTCAAACAGGACAAAAAGTATTATTCTGGTCCTCAGAAAGAATAAAAGATATCACTCCCCCCCTCCCCAACCAATTCTTTCTATTTAAAAAAATAATAATTTTAGGACTTCTCTGGTGGTAGAGGGGACGGGAATCTGCCTGCCGACGCAGGGGACATGGGTTCGATCCCTGGTCCGGGAAGATTCCACACGCCACTGAGCAGCTAAGCCCATGAACCACAGCTAAGGAGCCTGAGTGTCGCAACTACTGAAGCCCATACCCCCTTGAGCCTGTGCTCTGCAACACGAGAGGCCACTACAGTGACAAGCCCAAGCGATGCAACAGTGAGTAGCCCCTGCTCACTGCAACCAGAGAAAGCCTCCATGCACAGCAGCAAAGACCCAGCACAGCCATAAATAAATAAAAACATTTAAATGCAATCATAATTTTAAATTTTAAATGGTTTCTTCTAGAAACTATCAAAAGTCCTTTCCAACTGAATGACAGTTGTTCCCAACTAATAATATAAGAGAAAAAGTTTTTTATTTTGCTTACGGGACTTTAAAAAAAATTAAGACTGGAGCCTGCCAGGCTCCGCTGTCCATGGCATTTTCCAGGCAAGAGTACTGGAGTGGGATGCCATTTCCTTTTCTAGAGGATCTTCCCAATCCGGGGATCGAACCCAGGTCTCCCACATTGCAGGCAGATGCTTTACCCTCTGAGCCACCGGGGAAGCCCAAGTTCACAGTAAAAAACAGCAGACAATACAGAGTTCTCACATAACTCCCTCCCTGATCCCCTACACACACACCACACACACTCTCTCCCTCCCTTTCAATATCCTGCACCAATATCGTACATTTGTTATAATAAATGAACACATGACTATCAACCAAGGTCCCAACTAGTCTTCACATGTTAATTCTCACAATTGCATCACACGAGCCCTCCAGGACTGTCAGAACAGTGACACAGCAAGGGATATGTCAGCACTCCTATCTCTAACCACATTCCCCCACCACCACACGTCACTTCCTTAGTCAGGAAGACCAAGTGTCCTCCCAACTGACCTCCAAGACCTAACTCTACATTCACTGCTCTGGGGAAGAACGTTTCTGACCTCACAAGGCCACAGTATTCCTGGCCATCTCTGAACATCTCACATCACAGCAGCAGAAGCTGTTCCCAAAGGGGGCTAGGACCAAGCAGATAAGACTGATTTGAATGTGCTAATTCTGCAATAATTATTAAAATTCAATTAGACAAGTTGGCTGAGCATCAGTTAGCTTTACAGTTATATCCCCTTAAACCATGATTTCTACAATACAATTGAATCTTATGGCTACGAGAGTAATGAACCTAGTGCTTCCAGTTCCACAGACTCCAACCAGCTGCCTGACACTGTGACTCTTTGCCCCTAGAAAAACTGAATTTGTAACAAATCACAGACTGAACTACCCTTTGCAAGCTGCAGGGTTGAGAAACACAGTTGCCTTCTTCACTTGCGCATTGGGAGGAATAAGTTGATTGCCAAACACCTAAAAAGGAACAAAGAAAAGTTTTCAGTAAGTGTCCTTTTATTGAGTTAGTGAACACATATATTCTTTCACTCCAAAAGAATTTATTTCTGACCTCTACCCTGAGGAAGCCAATGTTCTTCTAAGATTTCATATTGACAACCCCACCATAAAGCTGCATGAATCTAAAAAGAATGACACCAACAAATTTACTTATAAAACAGAAACAGATTCACAGACTCAGAGAAGGAATTTAAGGTTGCCAAGGGGGAGGAATAGGGGGAAAGGCTAGTTAGGGAATTTGGGATTGACATGTACTCATTGTTATAATTAAAATGGATAACCAATGAAGAGCTACTGTAACAGCACAGGGAACTCTGCTTGATGTTATGTGTCAGCCTGAATGGAAGAAGGGTTTGGGGGAAAATCAGTTCAGTCACTCAGTTGTGGCCGACTCTTTGCAACCCCATGGGACCGCAGCACACCAGGCTTCCCTGTCCATCACCAACTGCCGGAGCTTGCTCAAACTCAAGTCCATCAAGTCGGTGAAGCCATCCTCTGTTGGATGAGGAGAAGGGGTTCTCTTGCCTTCAGTCTTTCCCAGCATCAGAGTCTTCTCCAATGAGTCAGCACTTCATATAAGGTGGCCAAAGTATTGGAGTTTCAGCTTCAACATCAGTCCTTCCAATGCATATTCGGGACTGATTTCCTTTAGGATTGACTGGTTGGATCTCCCTGCAGTCCAAGGGACTCTCAAGAGTCTTCTCCAACACCACAGTTCAAAAGCATTGACATGTAAATCCATGGCTGATTCATGTCAATGTATGACAAAAACCACTACAATATTGTAAAGTAATTAGCCTCCAACTAATAAAAATAAATGAAGAAAAAAAAAAAGCATTGATTCTTCAGTGCTCAGCTTTCTTTATAGTCCAACTCTCACATCCATACATGACTACTGGAAAAACCATAGCCTTGACTAGATGGACCTTTGTTAGCAAAGTAATGTCTCTGCTTTTTAATATGCTGTCTATGTTGGTCATAACTTTCCATCCAAGCAGCAAGTGTCTTTTAATTTTATGGCTGCACTCACCATCTGCAGTGATTTTGGAACCCCCCAAAAATAAATTCTCTCACTGTTCTCATTGTTTCCCCATCTATTTGCCAAGAAGTGATGGGACTGGATGCCATGATCTTAGTTTTCTGAACATTGAGTTTTAAGCTAACTTTTCACTCTCCTCTTTCACTTTCATCAAGAGGCTCTTTAGTTCTTCTTCACTTTCTGCCATAAGGGTGGTGTCATCCGTGTATCTGAGGTTATTGATATTTCTCCCGGCAATCTTGATTCCAGCCTGTGCTTTATCCAGCCCGGCATTTCCCATGATGTACTCTGCATATAATTTAAATATGCAGAGTGACAACATACAGCCTTGACGTACTCCTTTTCCTATTTGGAACCAGTCTGTTGTTCTATGTCCAGTTCTAACTGCTGCTTCTTGACCTGCATAAAGATGTCTCAAGAGGCAAGTCAGGTGGTCTGGTATTTCCACCTCTTTAAGAATTTTCCATTTTGGGGGAGAATAGATACATGTATATATATGGCTGGGTCCCTCTGCTATTCACCTGAAACTATTGCATTTTTAATCCGCTATACTTCAATACAAAATAAAAAGTTTTTTAAAAAAGTGGACCATTATTTAATAAAATATTATTAAATAATGAATTAGATAAATATAATTAAATATGAATTATAATAAAGTACCTACTTCATTCACTTACTACAGGTAAGTAACTTTTCTTTTCTCTATAAGATATGGTGAGGTTTATTACAACCAATAAGTCTGTCACAAGGGAAGTTTGTCTTTAGTTTTCAGAATATAATCATTTTTCCTTTTAAGTGAAATGCAAGTCACTCAGTCACGTCCAATTCTTTGTGACCCCATGGACTATTCAGTCCATGGAATTCTCCAGGCCAGAATACTGGAGTGGGTAGCCTTTCCTTTCTCCAGGGGTTCTTCCCAACCATCTAAAGCTTATTAATGAAAAATCTTTGTGTTACCAATTAACCTTCATATCTTTATACACATAAAAAATAAATCTCATACTCTAGCTGCCTCCTTTCTTTGCAACCCTGAATGATAACTCAGTAGCATCAACTGGTACAGGAAAATAAATATAATTAATGTATACTAATTGGAAGGACTAATGCTGAAGCTGAAACTCCAATACTTTGGCCACCTGATATCATTTGAAAAGACCCTGATGCTGGGAAAGATTGAGGGCAGGAGGAGAAGGGGACGACAGAGGATGAGATGGTTGGATGGCATCACTGACTCAATGGACATGAGTTTGAGCAAGCTCTGGGAGATGGTGATGAACAGGGAAGCCTGGCATGCTGCGGTTCATAGGGTCGCAAAGAGTCGGACACGACTGAGCGACTGAACTCAACTGAAGTGCCTAATATTTGCCACTTCCACACATATTGTTCTTAGTTCTCAGAAACTAAGTAGGAATTAAATATTCCCATGTCTACAGATAAGAAAGCCAAGATTCAGAAAAATTAAGTCAAAGTGTTAATAAATTACAAGTTCAGAATTTATATCCATCTAACTTCAAAATCCAAACTTCCACTCTATCAGTTCTACAGAGAAGATAATGGATGAGACAAGAGTTCAAACTCACAGAGGATAAGATGTAAGGGGTTACAATGGGGACTAATCAGAGCTGCCACTGCTCCATCAGGATGGGAGAAGATGGTCAACAAAAAGGAGAATAGAGAAATCCTAAACAGGGCAAAATTTCGAGTCTTAACTGGTCAGGAAGCAGGTCTGGGCCAAGAAGGTAGAATTCAAGTACAGAAGTACAAACCAAAGAAGAAAAATGAAAGTTATACCAAGTATCTTATTAAGTAACTGATTCTCACTCTACCACCTCCCTGACAGTCCACTGGAGATCCTTTCTCATTATTGTCTATTACTTGCTCTAAACACAAAAATAAACCTCTACTGCTGAATACCTCAGAAGGACATATTGTTTTCTTTGTAAAAAGTTTCTGGTACATCATAATTTCTACTGTTTTCACTCTGAGTTAGACCTTAATATTGTAATTTGTTCTTCTTCTGTCCATACTATTTCTGGAATTTGGCCAGAAATGACTTATTTAACCGGCCAGATTACAGATCTATAATTCTAGATTATTCTTCTTGGTCCTGGGTTTATAGCCTCTAGAACCCTTAGCTACCGGCGACTCAGGACTCGGGTTTATAGTAGATTAAGGAGTTTACATGAGACTATAATGAAGTGAGCTTAAAAAAAAATCCTATTTTATTAAAGAATTTAGACTGAAAGGGGACGGACACAGGAAAAGTAACTAGAAGGAGTAGACTGTAAGGATTAATTGACTTGCTCTTTTCAGATGAGAGGAGCTAAATGGGTGTTGGGAAGCGGAGAATTAGAACAGTGGGAAGAGGGAAACATGCAAGGGAAGAAACAAGGGAAGGACCAGGGCCATGAAACAGGAGGAGGAGAGGGGACTCAGAGCAGAGGTGAAGGCATTAATACTTCACACAAGAAAGGAAGTGCCGCATCCACTCTGTTCAAGAGCAAAAGGCTTCCCCGTGCACGATTTTCTAGTTACTAATGGAAAATTAGCTTGGGGTGAAGATCACCTCAAATTTAATACTAAAGTTTGTTTGAATTGATCTCCAAAACAACCCAGAGCCATGAGATGAAACAACAAAGCAATCAAATTCCTAAAACACAGATTTAGAACAGTTAGGGAATCCCGAAAGAGAGAAATTTGTTCACACTGTCTATTGTCATTGTCATCCATGAAGACACTTCAGAACGTTTCCTGCCTCCTACTTCTACCAAACGCATCATGCCTTTGTCATTTTTTAATTTCCTGTTTCTTTTTTGGTATTTTTGACATCATAAGCTTAAGTGACATAACAAAAAGGCAACTTAACCATGCAAATTCATCTGCAAGTTATAAAGTGCATATTTGGAGGGGAGGGAAAAAAGAAATGTGATCTTAAACTTGAAAGGATGAACAATTCAACTCTAACTAGATATTTGAATATTTAAGTGCAATACCCTGAGACTGGGAATAACAATGCACAGGCTATGACTCAGCTGGGCTAAAGAGACAGGCTTTAAAAGTACGAATCAACAGTTTTAAGAAGATTTGACTTTGAGAGGTAACAACTGCTCTGAACTGATATCCTTGGGGCTTATTCGGCTTAGGCATGAATCGGACTTTAGCCAGAGCTTCCAGGCCACCTGCAGACATGAACAAATTCCCAGAACCCAACCAGTCCAGTTCTGTGTTCTTTGGACTAATCCAGAAGTAAACAAGTCTGAAGGGGTGGGCGTTGGAACTGCTCTTCGCCAGATGGTTAACTTCCTCGAGTTCTATTCAGAGTTGGCTGGCAGCCTGATTCATCCCCTGATAGTGGGGGAAAAAACAGCCAAGCTGCACTGATGCAAGGTGCTGGGCAAGTCCCCTGGAACAGCCTGAGATTTCTGCATGGTGGAGATAAGGCGGGTTTTAATTGTTTCATATTAAACAGCATTACCTGAGCTTCTTGACAGGCTGCTCTCCTTAGTAGGTTATCACTATCAAAGAAAACAAAAGAGAAGGAACGTTAGCTTTAATAAGTAGGTTCAAATCCAAACAAGTCATCACTTTTTAAAGCACATATAACTCTTTAAAATAGTCAAGTGAACGTTTCTTAAGATCTGTAACAAATCATGGGCACATCTGAAAGGTACTTTCTCCAAATGAAATCCATGTTAGTGAATCCATGTTAGGTGTTCCCACACAACAGCAGGCAGAATAATCCTCACTCCCTTTATGACGTTCACATCCTAATTCCCAGAATCTGAAAAGGTTACCCTATGTGGCAACAGGGTTTCTACAGACATGATTAAGTTAGGGTCTGAAGATGGGAGAGAATTCTGGATGACGCAGGTGGGCCCAATGGAATTGCAAGGGTCCTCAAAAGCAGAGAAACTTCAGTAACAAATATGACCAGGAAAGGATGGTCAGAAAGACGCAGCCTCGCTGGCTTTGAAGATGGAAGGTAGCTTTAAGTCAAGGAGTGTGAGTACCCAGGCAGGAGAGGGGCTCTCCCCAGAGCCTCCAGGAGGAACACTGTCCTTGCCAACACCTTGAAGTTAAACCCAGGGAGCCCTGTGTTGGATCTCTACTCCACAAACAACAAGCCTTCTGCTCAGTCGTGTCTGACTCTTTTTGACCCCATGGACTATAGCCTGTCAGACTCCTCTGTCCATGGGATTCTTCAGGCAAGAATTCTGGAGTGGGTTGCCATTCCCTTCTCCAGGGGATCTTCCCAACCCAGGGATCACAGCCCCATCTCCTGCATCGCAGGCAGATTCTCTACCACAGAGCTACCTGGGAAGCCACAAAACTGTAAGATAATAAACTTGTGTGGTATTAAATCTCTAAGTTTGTGGTAATTTGTTAGGGCAGCAACAGAAAAACGAATGCACATACCCTGCGTTTTTCTTATTCAGTAGAAATTACTCAGGTCATTTGCCAGAAATAAATTTGAAATATAGTTGCTTCTGCTAGTGTTTTCTCTAAATCTCTTATTTTTTATATCACAGTCAGATACACAATTATGTCATAAATGGATAATTCTGGCGTGAGGCAAAATTTTAGCTTGCAAAAACAAAACGTTCTATCAGAATATGTTCATCTATTCAGCATAAAGCTTTCTAAAATGTGTTTGGGCCACTTATACCCTAAGACCACTTTAAATAGCTGACTGCCTACCATGCTCCAGAATCTTCTCCTTGTAAGAGTCCATTCTAACACGGGTTGCTAGCATCATTCATATAGGAACTTCAACCTGGCTAACAACAGTTAAGAAAACGAATACCCAGAAAACATGAGCAGTAAACAATTTAGAGGGAAGAATTAAAAGGAGAAAGGGTTATTTTACTTAAAATTTTCTGTCTAGACCTTTCTCATAACATCAAAGACCTTGAATTTTGCAACTTTACAGTACAGTAAGTCCCCTACATGCAAACAAGTTACGTTTTGAGGGTGCATTCCTAAGTCCAATTTGTCCATAAGTCCAACCAAGCTACCCTAGGTACCCAACTAACACAAGCGGCTATATAGCACTGCACTGTAATAGGTTTATAATACTTTTCACACAAATACTACATATTAATTAAAATTAAACTTTTGCTTTTTGCTATAGTTGCAGTCAAAGGCTATGGAGTTTTCTTCCAGAGCCAGGCTGCAGGACAAGCCCGATTTCACAGAGCCATCAGCTTCCAGGAGAAAGCACTCCCTAAGAGGAAGTATCTCTGCTGCCCACCTGAAACCTAAGGGCAGTAACAACGTCCCATTACAATTACAGTGACACCAGTACCTCAAACCCTGATAGCTCAGTGGGTAAAGAATCCGCCAGCAATACAGGAGTCCCCGGTTCGATCCCTGGGTTTGGAAGATCCCCTGGAGAAGGGAAAGGCTACCCACTCCAGTATTCTGGCCTAGAGAATTCCATACAGTCCATGGGGTCACAAGGAGGCAGACACGACTCAGCAACTTTCACTTTCAGTACCTGAAAAGCACATATGGTTCTACAACAAAGATTTTAGGGGGACCGATCCCTTGTGACGTCTACCCCACAAGGCGCCTTTACAGCCAGGCTCAGCCCCCTTGCTGGAGGGACACTGCTCCCCACTAGCCCACGGCAAAAGGAGGCCTACAAGCTCATCTCCCTCCCCACCCAAGAGTCACAAATGCTTTGCTCTTTCCAAGCCTCTCCATCAACTGCTCTCAGTGAATTACTCTAACGTCAACAGAACATGCACGCAAGATGAGGCAGATTCAGGGTGCAATCTAGTAAAATATTTAAAAATAGTTACATGTCAATAACCCTTTGTAATAACCCTTCACACTCATGCCCTTCTGTACAATGATGAGGCAAAACACAGAGCCCTCTGTATCCGTTGGATCTTCAAATACAACTAGGTTCCTTGTAGTCACCTGAGCATTCTCAGCGGATTTAACCCTCAGTCTAGTTTCCAGACTGCCCAAGTTTCCGCTGCCAGTCTCACAGGACTGTCTTCCTCCTCCTCCTCGCCTCAACGTGTTTTTCCTAGTAGACAGAATGACCTATGCCTCGTCTCATCCTACAGAGACATCCTGTGGATTACTCCATACAAACACATGCGTCTATAGAAGCTGATTGCCTATCTCTATATATCTGTCTGTTTCCCCCAGCCAGCTCCTTCTTCTACGAGGGACAGGCCTCTGAAGGCACCAGTACCCTCTGGGTCATTAGTAGACACCACCTTCCTTACTGCATTTCAGCCACGCTGATGCCTGTGGACCCAGCTGAAAAGGGAAGACCCCCAAACAGATACAGGAATATGGGTAGCATCTTGGATCATTTTTTCTCAATTATTTTTTTTGCTAGAAGTAAAATTCTGATGGTTAACTTGTGAAGAAGTGTATTATTAAAGATCTCAGCTCTCTTGAGCTTACTAATAACTGCTTGATGTATCAGAGTGCTATTGAAAATCAAAAGGTATTTTGATAGTTAACATCCTGGATTACAACGAGCTAAATGGAGTATGTGCACTGCCAACACCACCTGTGAGAAAGACAGAATATGTACCAATTTAGACATTACAAAAGAAATCCTCATTATAATCACACTTAGCTTTTTAAATATCAAAAAATGGTATCAACTACCTTGATCACGTTCTCTGAACCAAGTTGTATCTAAAACTCAAACCTATCCTCAAAAGAAAAGATATTTCTCCTATCGACATAGTCTGAAGGTCTACAGCAAGTTCTGAAAACTATTTCAAAAAAGAAATTTCAAGGATGTTTTCCGTAATGGCAGCATTGCTGCAATAAAAAAGAAAATAACTTAAAATCCACAGAGCAACTACTGTGTGCCAGATACTATGGCAGTTGTTTTCATAAACCTTTAGTCTTTGGAACAACCTTGCAGGGCTTCCCTGGGGGCTCAGCTGGTAAAGAATCCACCTGCAATGCAGGAGACCTGGGTTCAATCCTGGGGTTGGGAAGATCCCCTGGAGGAGGGCATGGCAACTCATATCCAGTATTCTGATCTGGAGAATCCCCACGGAGAGGAGCCTGGCAGGCTGCACTCCATGGGGTTGAAAGAGTCAGACACAACTGAGGGAATCAGCACCCAACCACCTTGCAAGGCAGGCGGTACATTCCCATCTTACAGATGAGGAAGTCCAGGCTCAGAGAAAGAAAACTGACTTGCCCAAGAGCACGTGTTGCTAAGTGGGAGAGCGGGCTTTCAAATGACTTAATGCTGCTACTTCTTAATTCCAGACCATACTGAATGGGCAACACTTCTTTGGATGCATACTTTAAAGCACATTTATTAAGCTAACACATCGCTTCTTAGTCCCAGCTAACATAACTCTTAGAATTTATATTCATATAGTTTTTTTTTTTAATATATAAATTCAAGTGCAATAAAGCTCCTGAAAGGAACTGGTGAAACAAACTGATTTAACACAAAAGTGCCAGGTACAGCACCACAAACAAGACTTGGTCCTGACCTGAAGAAGCTTGGGATCTAGGAGCAAAGAACAGCACTTGGTAAATATCAGTGATATAGTAAAAGAGATGTTTCTTGATAGATAACATGCCAGGCACAGTGCTGGGTATCTATGACATACAGGTGCATAATGACATTCCCCATCCTTGTGAAGTCTACAGTTTGAAGAGGGAAGAAAGACAATTTGCTAGGCAATCATCAAATGATATGACTTATATGTGCTCCACAAAAGAAGTGTCTAACAGAGGTATCTAACCTCGTCTTGAGGGAATTAGAGAAGACTTTTACATGGATAGTGAAGTTGAGATCTAGCAGAGAAACAGAAAGTAGCCAGGCAAAGACAGGGAGGAGAATGCAGGCAAAGGAAAGAGCATGGGAAAAAGCCCGCAAGTGCAAGGTCACAACCAAAGCCAGAACCGGAAGCAGCTCAGGACAGCTGCAGCAGCAGAGCAGGGAGGAGCCAGGACAGGCGGCCTCCAAGAGCCTGCTTGAACCCATTTAAGGGATGTGGGCTTTACCCTAGGGGCCATAAGAAGCCATCGCAGGGTTTTAAGAAGGAAACTGACATGACCAGGTTGACAGCGTAGAAGGATCATTCTGGCTGCAGTATCAAGAAGGCATGGGTCAAAGATAAGACCAAATCCAGGGAGACCAGGGAGGATTCTTTAGGAAAGCAGGTCAGTGAGGATAAGGACTAGAACCAGGTAGGTGGTAGTGGGGATGGAGAGAACACAGATTCAGCAGAGGTTGAGGAGTGAACTTTAGGGCTGGCTCGTGGGTAGGGAGGGGTCAGAGACCCCTTGACCTTCCAGCAGAAGGCATCACTTTCACAGAGATGGAAGGCAACACGAAGGACTGGTTGAGGAGGGAGGAAGCTATGTTTGATCTGGATCGGTCGATCTGAGACAACGGTGAGAGACCAGGGGGGAGGATCCAGGGGACAGCTAGAAATACACGCCTGGAATTCCAGACAGAGCTCCTGACTAAAGATGAACATGACTGGACTTCCCCGGGGGGTCTAGGGGT